CTACAGGGGAATCCTGGAATTAGCCAATCACGTGCAGCCCATTGGGTAAATAATGTATATAAAGCAGATATTTTGGAGGATCTTTCATTCCTCCTCACCACTATGAGGTGAATAAAAAGCATGAAATCCACTCTCGACTCTGAGTATATTTCAAGCTCTATCTCCTCTAGCGTCTGATATTTGAAAGCCTTGCTGTGTCTTGTGTGCAACACATCATATGGGGACTTCCGGAGAGGAAAAATGGAGGGCGCCACGCCAACGAGCAGCTCCTGAAACCAGCCAGAGCCAACTGCGCTACAAGGCTGGCTCCGGGCTGCTGACTGCCACTGCCACTGCTGAAGGGGAACAGGGGACGTCCGGCGATACAGATCTCCTGCCCCCTGCCCCCTTTGTTTTGTCTGATTGGGGGAGGCTCAGGAGTCATGGGCGGGCGGCCGTTGCCCAGTTTTTTAAAAACTCTGCGCATTTATGTTTCACAAGATGTGAAAGAAGGGCTTTGCACCTTGCCTGGCAGAGAAACCGCATGCCTTGCGCCCCTCCTGGGTAATGGCCGCCTGCCTGCGACTCCTGAATCCCGCCCCCCAATCTATCAAAACAAAGGAGGAAGGGGGCAGGAGATCAGGGAAGGCTTGGGAGTCATGGGCGGGTGGCACGCCATTGCCCAGTTTTTTAAAAAAACTCTGCACATTTATGTTACACAGGGTGCAAAAGAAGGGCTTTGCTATACAATATGCATGTGTGCTTGGGCCCAGGGTCTTTTGCTTCACCACCCCCACTACTGACTCCCTGTTGCTACTCAGTTTCAAAAAAAAAAAAAGTGTCCCCAGATTCATTGAAAAAATCTGGTAACCATAGGCTAGTCGTCATTGGTAACCCTTCTCAATGAATTTCCCCAATTGTCTTCTAAAGCCATCCAAGATGGCAGCCATCACTGCCTCCTGGGGGAGTGAGTCCCATCGTTTGACTGTGCTGCCTGTTGCTAGGAATCAAAAGTGATGGAGGGGGAGCGCTGTTGCCCTCAAGTCCTGCTTGTGGGCTTCCCAGAGGGACCTGGTCGCCCTCTGTGTGTCAGGGAGCCGACAAGGAGAAACAGGTCCTTCACGGTTCAGAGAAAGACAGTGAAACACCAGCTAACTTACAGTTAGTTTCTTTATTAAGGAAGCTGAACGGAGAACACACAGAGACTTCTAAGGACTGCTCCTATCTATAGGAGCCAATTCTTAGGGGCTGTGGGGGCTTTGCTCTCTCAGTATGCCCTACAGGGGACCTTAAGGTCCATAAATAGCAACACCCTAGAGGTCCCAGGCCCTAAGGAAGTCAGATTAGCCTCAACCAGAGCCAGGGCCTTTTCAACACTGGTGGAACACTCTGCCTCATGAGACCAGGGCCCTGCAGGATCTGATTTCTTTCCGCAGAGCCTGTAAGCCTGTAAGTTGTTCCACCTGGCCTTTGGCTTGGAGCCAATTTGATTCCCTCCCCCTCTTTCTTTTTTCCTTTCTCCTCCTGTGATGGAACTCCTATTTGGGGACTTCCCTGGCTTTTTTCTGGCCCATGTAGGATCAGTTTGGATAGTTAGCCTTGGTGAAGACTTTCATCCCCCCAAAAAGTTTTTGATTTGAGTTTCCAGTGAAATGAGGCTGCATTTTAATGTTTTAATGTTGTATTTTAATCTTGTTTTTTAAGTTGTATCTCAATCAAAAACAAATTGATTGAGATACAACTTTTTTAAAAAAGATTATATCGGGTGTTAGCTGCCCTGAGCCTGGTCTTGGGAGGGTGGGGTATAAATAAATTTATTATTATTATTATTATTATTATTATTATTATTCTCCCTCCATAAAATATTTGAGGGCTGGGGCCCCCCAAAGTTGATGGACATTGCCATTCAAATGGTGTGTGTGTATGCACTGTATCATGTGTTCAATTATGTCCCCCGCATTTTATTCAAGTTGGCGCTCCTGCTCCTATCTTAATGAAGCAATTGCCTGGACTGGCTTGTAACTCCCCCTCCCTTCCCTATCCCTTTGGGTCAGACCTCTTCCTCTGTCTATGGTGAGCCCCGAGGGACCCTCTCTGTTCCTGCCTGGTTCTCTGCTCAGTAACATGTAATGGATTCCTCGTTCTGGGAGTTGGGGGGGGGGCGGTTTGCAGGCTGTCAGCAGAGAAGCTGTCAGAGTGACTTTGTGGTGGAGCTGTCATGTCTGATTCCTGTCCCTGCCCTGTGCTGGGGCACCTGCCTGTTTCCTCCTCTTTTTCTGATAGTAATTTTTATTAGTTTTCAGTCACAATCCAATAATAGCCTCACGGTAACAATACCAATTTATAATACACTTACTAATACCAATTGTTCAAATACCAAATTATATAATTTAGTTCCTCCCTCCCCCGCATCCTAGAATTGATGGCTTGATGATTTTCTTTAATAATAATAATAATAATAATAATAATAATAATAATACTTTACTATTTATACCCCGCCCATCTGGCTGAGTTTCCCCAGCCACTCTGGGCGGCTCCCAATCAAGTGTTAAAAACAATACAGCATTAAATATTAAAAACTTCCCTAAACAGGGCTGCCTTCAGATGTCTTTTAAAGAGAAGATAGCTGCTTATTTCCTTCACATCTGAAGGGAGGGCGTTCCACGGGGCAGGCGCCACTACCAATAAGGCCCTCTATCTGGTTCCCTGTAACCTCACTTCTCACAATGAGGGAACCGCCAGAAGGCCCTCAGTGCTGGATCTCACTGTCCGGGCTGAACGATGGGACATTTATTTATTCCTTTATTCTTGCGTTCCAAAATCTCATTAATTGCAATTACATTCTGGTCATGATAATAATACCTTATAGAACAACTGCAAAATTAATAACTTCCGCTCGTGTTGACACAGTAAATGATTTATAAAACTACAAGTGAGGCACTCAAACTATATCCTTGTTCTTCCTGTGTGTGGAAATTTTTCTCTCCGTGGTGTTTCTTCCTGTCCTGCCTGTTTCTTCATCATTCTCCAAGCTCCCAGCCTCTAGTTCTTCCCAACTCTTCTCCTCCTCTGGAGTGTAGCTGGTTTCCCACCTCCAGGATCCAAATCCTCTCCCTCTGATTTCCCTGGGGGGCTCTTGTTCAGGCAGCATCCACTCCTCCTCCTTATCCAGCCAGTCCCTGACACTGTGAGAACAGGGATGCTGGATTACACATGCCACAGGCTTGATGCAGCAGGACTCTTCTTACATCTCTAATTCCCATCCCTAAGCTGCTATCCATGAGGGCTATGTTCTCCTTGTCAGCATGCAGAGGGTCGCAAGGCCAGCTGGCTAGCCCCAGCTGGGTGGTCTCCTTCCAGCCGTCCCACTGCAAAGACCCATCGGCCTCTGCTCTGACGTAAATCAGCGACCCAGGCTTCAAAACCAGGGCACATTATTTTCAGCAGAGTGAACTGCGCACACAGAATAGGCGTGAGGCTTGTGGAAGCATACTACAACTACGGATTTATTAATCATAAATCAGGACAAAGAAACATGTTGGCTCTTTCTTTGTCTTCTCAGAGAGACAGAGAAAAGCAAAAGCTATACACACAATGGAAGTTCCCAGCAAGCTGTGCTGGTATGTAAACAGACATGTGACATGCAACAGTTCCATGTCTGCAACTAAAGGTGGAATGGAATTTTCCAACACTCCTTCCTCTGCATGTGGGCTTCCTATGTGGATCTGCTTCATCACCATGGGAAGCTATTTGCCATTCACCTTGGGTCTGATCTTGCAGGGCTCTTCCATTATCCTCCATATTCTATCTACTTCCATTTCCAAGTACAGAGTGTTTGAGGACCGGGACATTCGCAGGGAAACCAAAATGCTTGTTTGAAAGCTATTGTACTACCAACTTTACTGTACGCTTGTGAAACATGGAACACTTATAAACGCCATCTCCAACTCCTCAAAAGATTCTATCAACGGTGTCTCCAAAAAAACTGCACATCATTTGGGAAGAAAGGTGAACTAATGGCAGTGTACTGGAAGAAGCAAAGATCATTGGTGTCAAAGCAATGATTCTTCGACATCAACTTTGTTGGATTGGTCATGTTGTGCCTGTCTTCCAAAGCAACTACTCTATTCCAGACTTAAAAATGGAAAGCATAATGCCAGTGGTCAACAAAAGAGGTTTAAAGACTCTCTCAAGGCAAATCTTTAAAAAATGTAGCATAAACACTGACAACTGGGAAACACTGGCCTGCGAGCGCTTCAACTGGAGAACAGCCTTTACTAAAGGTGTTATGGGCTTTGAAGATGCTGGAACTCAGGACGAAAGGGAGAAACAAGCTAAGAGGAAGGCACGTCTGGCAAACCCTCACCGTGATCAACTCCTGCCTGGAAACCTATGTCCCCAGTGTGAAAGGATGTGTAGATCCAGAAATGGCCTCACAGTCACTTACGGACTCACTGTTAAGATTGTGTTCATGGAAGACAATCTTACTCGGCTACAAGTGATCACCAAAACAGAAGAAGAATTTCCATTTGGGGAAATCTTTTGGCAGCGTTAAGTTATAAAACTTCAGCATGATGCCCACCCAAGCTGGCAGAGGCTACACTCGAGTCCTTGGCAAGGCTACATAAAACCCAATGGTCTGCTGATATTCTGAGAAGAGAATGGATTTTATTTGCTGGGAAATGCTGGCGGTTGAGCTGATCTGTGCGGTTCTCCCAGGCAGAAGCACAGGGGGGAGTGGATGACATTTAGAACAAAGGTTCCCGAGAATGGGGAGAGTTTATATCCTCCAGGAAATGGCTGGCAAGCGAGCAGAATCTCTGCAGGGCTCCACTTTCTTTGTGACCGAAGAAGAATCAGCCAAGGGGGGAAATGAAAGGAACAGAATGGTGTATGCAGCCATGAGCAGAGAAGCTTGGCACAGGTTTCACACGTTGCCAACGAGCTACTTCATGGTCCAGTCCAGAGCCGTAAGCATTATTCCCTGAAAATTGTACTATAAATATAAAGCACATCTTTGGCTCCTTTGCTTGCAGAGATGCAAGAAGAACCCATTCTATTTTTATACAATCATAGAATTGTAGAGTTGGAAGGGACCCAAATGGCCATCTCTAGTCGCTGCAATTGGGTTTTCTCTTTTATTTAATTTGTGTTCTTCTTCTGTAAAACTTCTACAGTGGTACCTCGGGTTACATACACTTCAGGTTACATACGCTTCATGTTACAGACTCCGCTAACCCAGAAATAGTGCTTCAGGTTAAGAACTTTGCTTCAGGATGAGAACAGAAATCGTGCTCTGGTGGCGCAGCGGCAGCAGGAGGCCCCATTAGCTAAAGTGGTGCTTCAGGTTAAGAACAGTTTCAGGTTAAGAACGGACCTCCGGAACGAATTAAGTACTTAACCCGAGGTACCACTGTATATAATTTTATTTCATTTATTTCATTTAATTTCCATGCTGCTTTCAATTGCAAGAAATTTCTACGCATCTCAACTAAACCCAATATATATATATTATTTAGAAAATACAAATTCCACATTTGACACAGCTGTCACTGATCACACTGCTTGTAATAAAATGCCATGTTTCAAGTAGCATCTTCCAACGTCGTTCTCAAAAGCATGTATGCAAAATAATGTAAATGAAAACAAAAGTGAGCTGCACAGAAACAAAAATACATAATGCTACAACATCAGAATGCAGGAAAATTACAAGATATGTCTTTTTAAAAAACCCTCGTAAATATTCCAGAAAAGGAACAAAAGAAAGAAGGAAGGAAAGAGAATAATAAAACAAAAGCCCTCACATGTATTAATACAAGTCAATAATCCAGGCACATAAGTAGTAGTAATAATAATAATAATAATAATAATAATAATAATAATATTTTATTTATAGCCTGCCCTCCCCAGCCAAAGCCGGGCTCAGAGCGACTAACAACAGTAAAATAATACAGCATTCTAAAATCAATTCATTCTAAAATCAGTTCAAAATCAAATTAATGGCAACCATTGGGCTAGAGTTCTGTGAGGATTACCAAAGGAGGGGGTCAGACTGTGCCTTGGCCAAAGGCCTGGTGGAAGAGCTCTGTCTTGCAGAATAAATAATAAAACTTTCCTTCTGTTCAATTTTCACTTCAATAAAGCAAATAATAATAATATTAATTTATACCCCGCCCATCTGGCTGGGTTTCCCCAGCCACTCTGGGCGGCTTCCAACAAAATATTAAAATACAATAGTTCGTCAAACATCAAAAGCTTCCCTAAACAGGGCTGCCTTCAGATGTCTTCTAAAACATACAACCAATATTTATGTACAAAAAGTATGTCTGCTGAATAGCAACTGAACAGGTGAAATGCCAAAGTCACAGTCACTGAAACACCTGTATATGCCATTAATTAATATTATAATTCTGTCCAATTATTTAGTCTTGTGGCCGCCTGCATGCAGTTTTGGCTGAGGGTCCCAGGAAAGGCTGGGGGGCTGCTGGATCCAAGTTTCTGGGAATCACAGGTGGGCACTCAGGTCCTGTTGGGGGCTTCCCATTGACACATCTGGTTGGCAGCTGTGAGAACACAATTCTGGACTAGATGGACCTTTGGCCTGACCCAGCAGTGCTTTTCTTTTGTGCTTGTGATGCGCTCTTCATCAGTGTTGAAAGCATCTAGGAGAGGGTTTCCCAGACTTGGGTCTCCAGCTGTTTTTGGACTACAGTTCCCATCATCCCTGACCACTGGTCCTGCTAACTATGGATGGTGGGAGTTGTAGTCTAAAAACAGCTGGGAACCCAAACTGACCAAGGAGAGGAATCACTGGAAATCCCACTCCATATCAGGTCCTCTCGCTAGTCTTGTTCTGCTGCTTCTCCACCAGATCTAGCAAAATGGGACCTCCTGCAACAAAACGTTGCAGCGTGGCACTGCCTCTCCACTGTCGGAGGTGGAGTTCTTTATTTATTGGTTCATTCACATGCTGTATTAATAGGGCTCCTAAGCGGTTTGCGAGTATCAAAGCCAGTTACACAAACATTAAGATGTATAAACCTGCATGATTTAAACACACAATAAGCTGATCCTATTAAAGCATCCATAATTAAAAACAGGCAATAAAAAAAATCTCATTAAAACAATGCAGTAATTAAAACAGGGGAGTCATGGCAAGAGATAAGCACTTCTAGATGCTGGGAATTACGGTTGGGGAGAAGCGATGTTATATTCTTGCAGGATTGTGGGTAAGTGAAAACACGATGCTGAACTAGATGGGGCTTTGGCCTGACCCAGCACTGCTGCTCTTATATTCCTCCTTAACACTCAATTCTATTCTCTCCTGTTTTCCCGGCTGCTCCCCTCCACACACACACACACACACACACAGTCAGACAATCTGTGACTGCTGGGCCTGCTCATCATTTGAAGTCGCCCCACTCCATTCCCCCCCCCCCCGAGACTTACAGTGGTACCTCTGGTTACATACGTTTCAAGTTACATACGCTTCAGGTTACATACACTTAAGGTTACAGACTCCGCTGACCCAGAAATAGTGTTTCAGGTTAAGAACTTTGCTTCAGGATGAGAACAGAAATTGTGCTCCCGTGGCGCAGCAGCAGCAGGAGGCCCCATTAGCTAAAGTGGTGCTTCAGGTTAAGAACAGTTTCAGGTTAAGAACGGACCTCCGGAACGAATTAAGTACTTAACCTGAGGTACCACTGTATTTGACTTCTGCAGTTCTGTGTCTCTTGAATTTGCTGAGAGCTCCCTCTTGTGCATGGTAGCTGCCATTTCAGTGACTTATTCAGTGACACTCATTTGTGCAAATCAAAAATCAAGGAAAAGACGGTTCTGATCCAGCCTCCTTCCTGAGATGCTAGTCTTCTATATGTGGGGATGTTTTTTTAGAGAGGAGCATTCCACCATTTGCACTCCCACCTGAGTTCTGAAGTGGTACAGCCATCACATAATAATAATAAGCTGGAGGAGACTCTTGAGAGTCCCATGGACTGCAAGAAGATCAAACCTATCCATTCTTCAGGAAATCAGCCCTGAGTGCTCACTGGAAGGACAGATCCTGAAGCTGAGGCTCCAAGACTTTGGCCACCTCATGAGAAGAGAAGACTCCCTGGAAAAGACCCTGATGCTGGGAAAGATTGAGGGCACAAGGAGAAGGGGACGACAGAGGACAAGATGGCTGGACAGTGTTCTCGAAGCTACCAGCATGAGTTTGACCCAACTGCGGGGGGCCGTGGAGGACAGGGGTGCCTGGCATCCATGGGGTCACGAAGAGTAGGACAAGACTAAATGACTAAAACAAATAATAATTATAACAATTATAATAAATTTTATTTATATCCCACCTTCCCCAGCCAGAGCAGGGCTCAGGGCGACTAACACCAGTAAAAATTACAGTAAAAACATAATGTGTGGTGGGAGAAACCAATTTAAAATACAGGTTAAAATGCAATTTAAAATGCAGCCTCATTTTAAAAGTAGCCCATAGATCACATAAAGGGAAGGAAACATAAGGGTCAGACTGAGTCCAAACCAAAGGCCAGGCGGAACAGCTCTGTCTTACAGGCCCTGTAGAAAGAAATCAAATCCCACAGGGCCCTGGTCTCATGAGACAGAGTGTTCGACCAGGCTGGAGCCAGTGTTGAAAAGGCCCTGGCCCTGGTTGAGGCTAATCTGACTTCCTTAGGGCCTGGGACCTCTAGAATGTTGCTATTTATGGACCTTAAGGTTTTCAGCAAAAACCAAGCTTGAGGCACCGAAGCCAAAGTCAAAATTGTTCCTGGCTAACACCTTGTTATGTAGCCTAAGCCAATTAAACAGCTTTTTTGCAAAGCTCTTAATAAGCTGTAATCTCTTTAACTCCACCATCTGAAAGCCTTTTGATCATCCACCCACTCACTCGAACTTGGTGCTGCCTGAAATATAATATCCTGCCGGCACACCCGGCTCTGTCCATCAATCGTCGAGGACGAGATGCCAGGGATATGACTTGCCCCAGCCTGATCACCTGGAAGCCTCATCGGGAATGGAGAGGTCTTTTTTAATTGGTGGCTCACTTTATTTTAAATAGTCACATTCTGCCTCTCCAGCTCTTGCGATAACTCACGGCAATCAATTACAACAAAAGTACATTGTGGGAACAATTTTATACGCACTTAGCCAGGAGAGCGTCCCACAATGAGCAAAAGAACATAGGGAACATTGCGTGGATCGGGCCAGTGACACGTCCAGTCTTTTTCTCACAGTAACCAAACAGATGCCCACCAGAAGCTCACAACCAAGACCTGAGCACAAATACGCTCTTCTCTTTTAAATCCTCTTTTAAAGCTATCCAAGTTGGTGGTCAACACTACCCTGGGACTTCTGCGCAGGCTTGTTGGTGGCTGTGGCGATCACACAGGGTCCCTGGACGTTTCACCGTCTATTGATCCCTGTGCCACCACTTTATTTCTCGCTGCCACCACCCAGGCCCTACCTGGGACAATACTGAGTCCAGTCAGGGTTAAATTGGAACATAAACTTTTGTTTATTTATTGCAGTTTAACAAGCATGTGGTTTCGTAAACGGTATCGGTCAATTAAAATCATGGGGTGCCTATCCAGACCTATAACTTCCACTACCTGCTGTCACTCACTAAACCACATCTCTGATATTTACTTGTCTGCCTAGCTCATAACTGTTCCTGACTCAGCTTATTTCTCTCCACTAACTCAACCTAGGGACGCGGGTGGCACTGTGGGTTAAACCACAGAACCTAGGACTTGCCAATCAGAAGTTTGGCGGTTCGAATCCCCACGACAGGGTGAGCTCCTGTTGCTCAGTCCCTGCTCCTGCCAACCTAGCAGTTCGAAAGCACTTCAAAGTGCAAGTAGATAAATAGGTACCGCTCCGGCGGGAAGGTAAACGGTGTTTCCGTGCACTGCTCTGGTTTCGCCAGAAGCGGCTTAGTCATGCTGGCCACATGACCCCGAAGCCGTACGCCGCCTCCCTCGGCCAATAAAGTGAGATGAGCGCCGCAACCCCAGAGTCGGCCACGACTGGACCTAACGGTCAAGGGTCCCTTTACCTTTACTGACTGAGCTATCCCTTGTCATGTGAGTGGCTATGTTTCGGTTTGCATACTGTTTTGAAACTTGTGATTTAGGCAGGTTCACTTTCAGACAACCATCTTGGCCGCCTCTTATGCAGACCCAGTCTGAGCTTCCATGCTCTCTGATCACCATGAACCACCATTGGCAGGGCTGGCAGCAACCGCAGCAGATATGTTCTATGCTTATGAAAGTATTTTATTCTTTTGTCAATTGTGCTATTTTAAATGTGTGTTTTAAATTTGACTTCCTTTAGTTGTGTTTCATTTCAAAACCTTTAAGGTAATATCTTAAGGTAAAGGTAAAGGGACCCCTGACCATTAGGTGCAGTCATGACCGACTCTGGGGTTGCGGCGCTCATCTCACTTTATTGGCCGAGGGAGCCGACGTACAGCTTCTGGGTCATGTGGCCAGCATGACTAAGCCACTTCTGGCGAAACCAGAGCAGCGCATGGAAACGCCGTTTACCTTCCCGCCAGAGTGGTACCTATTTATCTACTTGCACTTTGACGTGCTTTTGAACTGCTAGGTTGGCAGGAGCAGGGAGCGAGCAATGGGAGCTCACCCCGTCGCAGGGATTCAAACCGCCGACCTTCTGATCGGCAAGTCCTAGGCTCAGTGGTTTAACCCACAGCGCCATCTGTGTCCCTTAAGGTAATATCTTAGTTCCTTGTTAATTATGCTGCTTTGAAGATATACTTTACATTTGACTTTCTTCAGGAATGTTTTCTTCTCCTTCCTTGGAGGTTTTAAAGCAGAGGTTGGATGGTCACCTGTTATGGATACTTTAGTTGAGATTCCTGCATTGCAAGGGGGTTAGACTAGATGACTCCAGGGTCCCTTCCAACTCTGCAATTCTATAATTCTATTGTGGGTTGTTTTATTTGATGTTTGAATGTGTTGTAAACTACTTTGAAATTGTTTCCCTTAAAAATATAATATGGTATAGAAATTGTCATCATCAGTCAGAATTTCTTCTCCAGTCAGAGCAATCACTCTTCAGGAAAGCACCCTTTGAAACATGTCAGTTGTCTTAAAGAACCATGTTCTCTTCCAGGAGCCAATTATCGCCTTCCAAGGCATGGTGTACTGAACATCGCTCCCAGCTGCACTCCTGATCCTCAAAGCGAGCCATCAGAAAACGTGAACCTCTTGAAACTGGGCCAGAAGATAATTTGCAAGGTAGGAGGGAAGAACGGAGGCTGCCGGAGCTGGCCAATCCAAACTCCCAAAGACGTAGGCGTAATCGTTGTGCAACGGCTTTCCATTGATGTGGCCACGTATGAAACAAAAGATGGGCCAGGCTGTTGGTGGGACAACCACTCCGGGCAGAGATTGCGTGCCCCTCCGCTGGTCCATTAGAGATAATAATAATAATAATAATAATAATAATAATAATAATAATATATATATATATATATATATATATATATATATATATATATTTGTACCCTGCCCATCTGGCTGGGTTATCCCAGCCACTCTGGGCAGCTTCCAACAAAGTTTAAAAAATACATCAAAATGTCACACATTAAAAACTTCCCTGAACAGGGCTGCCTTCAGATGTTTTCAAAATGTCAGGTAGTTGTTTATTTCCTTGTCATCTGATGGAAGGGCGTTTCACAGGGCGGGTGCCACTAGCGAGAAGGCCCTCTGCCTGGTTCCCTGTAGATTTGCTTCTGGCAGTGAGGGAACCGCCAGAAGGCCCTCGGCATTGGACCTCAGTGTCCGGGCAGAATGATGAAGAAAACCCAGCCAGATAGGCAGGGTATAAATAATATATCATCATCATCATTGGAGTTTGGTGGGAGGAAGCAAATCTGGTGAAGGGCATAGGATAAAGAAGATCCCCACCCATCCTCTTTCAGGTCCATATAGGAATGTAAAAAAGCAAATTGAAATGCAAAAGGGGGGGAATGACCTCTCTATGCTTTATACCATTAAGGTGTATATAGCCCAAGATTGAAACAATTTCATTTGTGCATTGTTTATTGAGTTTCCACTGCAGTTTCCTCCCTTGCCTCCAATGAAACACAAAAAAAGAGAAGACTCAAATTCCTGATTCCAATGGGAAATGATTTTTTTTTTTTTCAGAATCCCACACATATCTCAAACAGACACAAAGCAGTCTCCATGTTTCTGGCGCATTTTGTGCAAAACCAAGGACCTACCCACATGGAAATTTATTCTTAGCAAAGGAATTTGACATGGGTTTCCAAATTTGCAAAGTTCCTGGAAATTCGAACGCTGGTTTTTGTGCAAGCAAGCGTATCATTGCAATGTATCCCAGACTGCAACAGCTCTATAAAGACTTACCTGACTGTAAGTGCCGTTGAACTGAATCGGGATTAGCTCTGAGCTAACATGTACAAGGGCAGGAGCCAAATCTTTGGGGTGTTTCACTTTTGGGGCTGCCCAAGAAAGGTACAGTTGGTCAAAATCATCCAGGGACGTAAAATTGGTGGAGATGGTGTGATGCAGAGATGATTTGGAGTATTAGGGGGAGGGGTTAATTATGATGGTGAGGCCTGGATGAAAAGGGACTACGTAGGTGATTTAAGTCAGGGGTGAAGAACCTGAAGTTCTTTGGGTGTTGCTGGATAGCTCTCAACTTCTCTGTGGTGCTCAGTGGGGCCCCTTCTCCAATTTTGCACCCCTAAAACTAGTACAATCCAAATTTCTAAGATCAGCCCTTCAAGTCCCAAAATGTGAGACTAGAGACAGGCTTCACAAAAGTGGAGTAAACAAACAAACCCCTGTGTTGCAAAATATGAGTCAGCAATATCAAAAGCAACACGATGGCCAGAAACAATTACAATGTGAAAAACTTTATGGAAGAATTCAAAACATCAAAACTAACAAACTGAAGTCTCTGAAAGTCTCTGAAAGTCCTTAAATGAATCACGGTGCCAGACTTTACCCGGTGGAGAGCAAGCTGTGAAGCTTTGTATAATCAGCAAATGTCCAATTCTGATGTCCAACTTTGAACTCTGCTGAACAGTGTTTTCAGATAACAACTACTGTTTCATTGAATTCTTCATCGGCCAATTAGTTCAACACTCATAAGTAGAAAGATATGTAATTTCTTCATTAACCAAACTTTTTTTGAATAGATATAATATACATGAGAATGAAAAATACTCTGGAACTGTGCTCATGCGATTGTGTTAATTTTGATGTTTTAAATTATTCCATAAAGTTTTTCACAAAAGTGGAGGCTAGAGTGTGGGTGACCACCCTCAACTATTGGCTCAGACTACCTTTATTTCCGCCTTGGCCTTGCCCCACTAACTGTGAATGATGATTTTCAATCCACGTGGAAACAGGCAGTGGCAACTAAAATCTCGTCCCTGGGCTTCTCTCCAGGTATTCTACTCAGCATGTGATACAATCAGGCCAAAGTACCCATTAAACAATGTGTAGCAGACACAGAGTGCCAAGTGGCTGTTAGAATTCCTGCTCCATGATTGCAATCATGGGATTGTTGTCTTTCACATGATGATATATGTTTTGACTCCACAGAGAGGGAAGGGACAGAGACAGGATGTTTGTGTTACTGTGTTCCGTGAAGTGGGACTATTGTCCTTTGTTCTTTTTCTCTTTGCTGTCTGATGCTAGAGAGAGAGGGAGCCATGTTGCAGTGCTCCCTGTGTGTTTTTATGTAAATAAAGTAGATTAGCCAAAATGCTGAGTTGCTGAGGTCTGTTACGCAAAGCTGCGAAGACTCTGCAGATCTCTAAATGTGCCGGTGTTGGTTGGCATAGGTCGCTGTGATGTTTGGGCTGAAGAAAGCTTATGAAGCTCCCGAACGATCGACCAGGAGGGAGAGAACATGCCAGTCAGGCATGTGTCTCTGCCAGGGTCCTACTCGAGTGTAGGCTGAACTCCTAACAGTGGCTTTAGCCAGGACCCCAACTTTTATTGCCAATGAATCCACCAGGTACTCTGGACAGCTCTTATCATCCCGACCATTTGCCATGCTGGCTGCCGTCACTTCTCACTGTTTCCCACAGGAACGTCCTAGGAGGCTGCCTTACACTGACTGAGACCATGGATCCATCTTGCGCAATATTGTCTACACTGACTGGCAGCCATTCTCCCCTCAGATAAAGGATAAATGCAGGGTGTCGGGGATTAGTTTCGGAGGGAACAAATGAAGAACAAGGTGACAGATGTGTATAGAGTTCTATATAAATGAGAGCAGCACTCTTCTCTATTTGAGAGGATCTCCCTATGAAAATGATGGAAGGGACAGGAACAGGACAACAGAGTTACTTCTTCACTTGCGGCAATGCGGATGCCGATAAGGTCACAGGTGGTGTGGAATTCCACAAAGGCAGATTAATTGGGCAATGCATGAAGGACCACTCCCTTATCTTGGCCCCAGTGACCATTCAACTTCAACTGGATGTCCATGCCATCTCTCCACACTAAGGTTACCAGATTTTTTTCAAAGAATCCGGGGACACTTTTTTTAAAAAAAAAAAAGAGAGAAAAAGTTATTTTTAAAAAAATTAAGAAGTAATATCTTCTCTTTTGTGGTCTCCTCTGTCAGGCGGCCTTCCTCTGGGCTCTGACCTGCTCTCTTGGAGCACTAGCCGCCATGGAGTAGGCTCAGGTTGGGCCTGGGCTCGGCCACGTGTCCTTGCCCTCCCAGTGCTCTCCTACCTCTCGTCCTCAGCGGTGCGGCAAGGTCGGGGCTCCCCTCTTTTTTCTCCTTCCTCTTTCTCTCTCTTCCTTCTCACTGTGTCAGCTCCAGGGTTTTCCTGGCCCCGGAGCAGCGCTAGGCAGTCGGCTGGGTGGCCAGGTGCTCTCGCTCCCGGCTTGATTTGGGTCATTGGGGGGGCAGCAGTTCCCCCAGTTGACGCAGAGGGCGTCCCCGGTTCCCCCTCAGCAGTGGCAGCAACAGCGGCAGTCTCAGTAGCCCGGAGCCAGCCTAGTAGTGCAGTTGGCTCTGGCTGGCTTCAGGAGCTGCCCGCTGCCGTGGCATTCGCCATTTTGCCTCGCCAGAAGTCCCCATTTGATGTGTCTTCTGCCGTTGAACCAATCACGCAACATTCATTCCCTACTAATAAATCTACAACACTTAAAATATAAATCTGGGGACATTAAATGAAATCCGGGGATGGATTTTGTCGGGGGACAGATTTGTAAATCCGGGGACTGTCCCCGGGAAACGGGGACGTCTGGTAACCATACTTCACACCCTTATTCCACCCACGGGGAAGGGAGACTGTTTCTGAAGGAAAGTATTGGGTTAGGGTAGCCTCTCTGCCTCCCCTTGAGGAAGCTGGTTGTTTGTATTCTCCATCTTTCCTGCAAAGCACTCTGGGAACATGATCTTGACTGTTGCCATCGCCCAGCCATACTGGATCAGTGGAAGAGCCCTTGCCAGATCTGCTCCGCCTTCCCTCTTTGTCCTCCGACCTCACCTGCCTTCCCCTGCCGAGCAAAAGGACAAGCAAGCTTCTCCTCCTCTCCGTCGGCAAGGTCACCCTCCGCGCCCGCTTCTGCCCCTCTGCCCTCCCATCCCCTCCCTCTAGCAAAGCGAGAACCGGCGGGAGTTGATGTTCATCTTAGTCACGCCAATGAGCTTGAGCGGGGTGGAGAGGCTGAAGGAGGACGTCAGCGGGAAGTCGCACAGGAGGTCAGAGAGCTCGTCCCGCTCCTCCAGCTCGTAGGTGGCATCGTTGAGCATCCGCCGGTGGAGGTGGCAGGTCTGCTCGATTTTGAGCTTGTTGATGTCGCTGCGCAGGCGCATCAGCTGCCGGGCCAGCTGCTGGTCCTGGAGACGCATTTCCATCTGGAACACAAAAGGCAGGCAGGGATAGTTTCATAGTCAAGGGGCATGAGTGGTTGAAGCAGACCTTCCAAGTGTCCCTACTTTCCAGGGACAGCCCCAGATTTACAGAAGCCGTCCAGGTTTCTGAGTTATAATAATAATTATTCTTATTCTTATTCTTTATTATTTATACCCCGCACATCTGGATTGGTTTCCCCGGCCACTCTGGACAGCTTCCAACAGAATATTAAAATACAAAACCTATTAAACATTAAAAGCTTCCCTAAACAAGGCTGCCTTCAGATGTCTTCTAAAAGTCTGGTAGTTGTTTTTCTCTTTGACATCTGGTGGGAGGGTGTTCCACAGGGCGGGTGCCACTACCGAGAAGGCCCTCTGCCTGGTTCCCTGCAACTTGGCTTCTCACAGCGAGGGAACCACCAGAAGGCCCTCGGTGCTGGACCTCGGTGTCCAGGCAGAACGATGGGGGTGGAGATGCTCCTTCAGGTATACTGGGCCGAGGCCGTTTAGGGCTTTAAAGGTCTGCACCAAAACTTTGAATTGTGCTCGAAAATGTACTGGTAGCCAGTGTAGGTCTTTCAAGACCGGTGTTATGTGGTCTCGGCGGCCGCTCCCAGTCACCAGTCTAGTTGCTGCATTCTGGATTAGTTGTAGTTTCTGGGTCACCTTCAAAGGTAGCCCCACACAGAGCGCATTGCAGTAGTCCAAGCAGGAGATAACCAGAGCATGCACCATTGTGGTGAGACAATCTGCGGGCAGGTAGGGTCTCAGCCTGCGTACCAGATGGAGCTGATAAACAGCTGCCCTGGACACAGAATTGACCTGCACCTCCATGGACAGCTGTGAGTCCAGAATGACTCCCAGGCTGCACACCTGGTCCTTCAGGGGCACAGTTACCCCATTCAGGACCAGGGAGTCCTCCACACCCGCCCGCGTCCTGTCCCCCAAAAACAGTACTTCTGTCTTGTCAGGATTCAACCTCAGAGTTGATCCCTGAATGTCCCACTTTCCTTAGGACATTCCTATTTTCATCTGAGAAATGTTGAAGGGTATGAAATATGATGTGATCCTAGAATGTCCCACTTTTCCTTAGAAAAGTCCCTATTTTCATCAGAGAAATGTTGGAGGGTAAGATTAAAGCGGCAACTTTAACCAGGAAAGGGGGAAGGGAACAAATTTGTTTATTGGATTTTTATTCTGCCCTCCCTCCCCAAGGAAACCGAGGTGCCAAACAGATGCACAATTTAAAAACAGCAGAAAAAAAATATTCTGAAAATAATTACTGTTAAAAGCTTTTTAACATTCCATTTTAATTGTAGTCACCCACTCTGGGGCCTTAGGGTGAAAGGTAGGCAAGAATATTTATTTATTGCACACTCTTCTTCCGTAAGGTCCCGGGGTGATTTGCAACATCAAAGCACACTGTTAAGAACAGTTTGAAGCAACTTGCAATCACAAGAATAAGCTGCGTCCTAAAAACGTACACCTCAAACGTCAAAAGCCAGGGCAAAGAGGTGTTTCTTCAGCCTTCTCCAGAAGCTGTATAAAGAAGGCACCAGGTGCACCTCTGTAGCGAAGGAGGTCCACGATTTAAAAACCACCACAGAGAAGGCTCTCTCCTGGACCACCACCACCCTTGCCTCTAAGGGCAGAGGAACTACAGTCGTACCTTGGTTGTCAAACACCTTGGTACTTGTATGTTTCGGCTCCTGAACAATCATGTTCTAGTTTTTGAATTTTTCTGGGAAGTCGAATGTCCGATGCAGCTTCTGGGACTTCCAATTGGCTGCAGGAAGCTCCTGCAGCCAAACAGAAGCCGCGCTTTGGTTTCTGGACATTTTGGAAGTCGAAGGGAGTTCCGGAATGGATTCCGTTCAACTTCCAAGGTACTGAGATGGACACCTCTGCTGATTGCGGCACCTGAGAGGGGATGTAAAGAAGGAGACCGTGTTTTGGGTATTTGGGGCCCGAGCCATTTAGGGCTTTAAATAGTGACGTGAGCATCTTGAATTGGGATCAGAAACACACTCTCAACCAGTGCAGCTATTTCAAAACTGGTCTTCTATGAGATCTAGAATGGAAACCCAGCCAGTAATCCGGCCACTGCATTTTGGACAAGCTGAAGTTTCCGAGTCACCTATAAGAGTTATTGTTATTTGTTAATTTCATAGAATTTACAAGTGGCTTGAATGCAAAACAACAACAACAACAACCCTTTACAAATAAAATCAAGAAAAAAATACGCTTTAACACATACAAAAATTAAAATACTAAAATGGAATTGCATTGGCTTTCTAAGCATCTGGGTATGCTTCTCTAAACAGGAATGTTTTTAGCAAGTCCTGAAAAGAATACCATGAAGGTGCATGAAGGTGGTTGATCTCAACAGTGGGGATAACTTCAAAATGACCCATGATGATAATGATGATGATGATGATGTTCTGATTACGAGGGCATCTAGATCTTATGGAAAAAGTAGTTGTTGACTTTGTTGTTGTTTAGTCGTTTAGTCATGTCCGCCTCTTCGTGGCCCCATGGACCAGAGCACGCCAGGCACTCCTGTCTTCCACTGCCTCTCGCAGTTTGGTCAAACTCATACTGGTAGCTTCGAGAACATTATCCAACCATCTCATCCTCTGTCATCCCCTTCTCCTTGTGCCCTCCATCTTTCCCAACATCAGGGTCTTTTCCAGGGAATCTTCTCTTCTCCTGATGTGGCCAAAGTCTTGGAGCCTCAGCTTCAGGATCTGTCCTTCCAGTGAGCACTCAGGGCTGATTTTCTTCAGAATGGAGAGGTTTGATCTTCTTGCAGTCCATGGGACTCTCAAGAGTCTCCTCCAGCACCATAATTCAAAAGCATCAATTCTTCAGCAATCAGCCTTCCAGCTCTCACTTCCATCCATCACTACTGGGAAAACCATAGCTTTAACTATACAGAGCTTTAACTATAGTTCTTGACTAGATGGCCCCAATTCTTGTGCATCTATAGTCTTACAACCTTATTTTCATCTGCAATGGGACTCTGCCGTTGTTTTGTTGAGAGGGGGGAATGAGGATCAGTTCTTCAGCAGCTCCAGCCCAACAGTTGCCAAACTTTCCCAGGGAGATAAAGCTTCCCGCCAGCTTTCATTTGCTCTTTCAGGGTGAGAAGGGTCTCTCTCTCGCATTGTAAAACAAAAAAAGGGAGTCGGTGGGGAGCTGATCTCCACAGGATAGGAGCATAAAGGGGCAACGGACAAAGCCTTGTGATGGTTGACAAAAGGATTACAGCTCTGACTCGGAGGAAAGGTGCCAGCGCTGAATTACTGTCCCCTGGCTTCAGACTTGGTGCTCGGTTTCGGGTGTCCCAGATAAAAAGATCGACTTTCTCACACATCAGATTCTCCTTTGGCAATAGATGAAGAACCAGCGACAGGTTAATTGTGGTGCAGGAGGCAGAAGGCAGCATTCTGGGCCAAGGAAGCTGGCATTTGTATATGATATTCTTAATCTCAGGGCCATAGGTTTGATCCCCCTTTGGGGCAAAAGATTCCTGCATACTGGGGGTTGGATTAGATGCCCTTTGTGGTCCCTTCCATCTCCACAATTCTATGATTCTATTATCCTCTCTCTCTCTCTCTCTCTCTCTCTCTCTCTCTCTCTCTCTAATTGACGGGATTATACAAGGGAAGGGGGCGGAGATTTCTGAGTTGAAAATAAGTCTGAAAAAGCAGAACATATTTCTTCCACCAAACTTGTACATAGCTCTAAACTATGGTTTATTGCACCATGATTTATGAAACCATGACAAAGCTGCTTCTGGCGAACCAGAGCAGTGCACGGAAATGCCATTTACCTTCCCGCCAGAGCGGTACCTATTTATCTACTTGCACTTTGACGTGGTTTCAAACTGCTAGGTTGGGAGGAGCAGGGGCCGAGCAACGGGAGCTCACCCCGTCGTGGGGATTCAAACCGCCGACCTTCTGATCGGCAAGTCCTAGGCTCTGTGGTTTAACCCACAGAGCCACCCTCCCCCTTAGTTTGTGGTTAGGCATTGGTTAAAAAATTGGTTGTTGGAGGGGTAAGTCCCTACCCCTCCAATGCTGGTGCTGCAAGGGAATTCTGTTAAAGGAATCCAGGGGTTTTCCATGCTTTTGTCCAAGTCCCTGGCCTCTGGGAGCATGTGGGGAGAGGTGAAGGTCTGGTGCCCAGCTTCATTTCTCCCCAATATTGTTTTCCCTGACTGGCTTCTGCTGGAATCCGGAAGTCAGTTCTGTCCCTGGACAGGGGAACAGATAGTCAGAACCAATGCCTAAGCAACCACTCACAGTTCCGTATTTAAATAAAGTTTTGGCCAAAATGATGCCAAAAGCCTTAAACCAAAAAATACGTGTGATGTGTGAGTTATTGGGGTGGCTTGGGGACCTCAACACGCAGTGTGTACTACTTGGCTTCAGCATGTGAGCAGCTCTCCCTGCTTCTCCTCCTTCTGCCAAACGGACCCCCCCCCCCCAAAGTCCTGCTCCGATGGTGCCACCAGCTCTGCAGAGCGGTCTCAAGGTATGCAGGGAAAAACCCGAAGATTCCCTGCTGCCTGTCCTCCTTTCTAAATTCAGCAAAGGGCCCCGGTCAGCATTTCCATTAAATCAACGGAGGCTGGCATTATAATCACAGCCTCTGTTCGGTCTCCAGGCTGCACGCAATTACAGCAGGCATTAACATCGATTGGAAGGAGAAGCACAAAACTGCTATTAAGCTATTTTGACCATGAAAGTACAGGAAATTCAGCCAACGGATTTTCTCTAGGACCCACCATCACCTGTCTCCTCTTCATTGGGGGGGGCAAGAGTGCTTGGGCCATAGCTCAGTGGTTAGTGCACCCAGATTGTGTGCAGAAGGTTCCGGGTTCAATTTCTGGCGTCTCCAGCCAGGGCTGGGACTGGGAGACCACCTGCCTTAAAACCCTGGAAATCCACTGCTATTCATAGAATATTAGAGTGGGAAGGGATCCAAGGGTCATCTAGACCAACCCCCTGCAATGAAGGAATTTCAACTAAAGCATCCATGACAGATGGTCATCCAACCTCTGTTAAAAATTCTCCAAGGAAGGAGAGTCCACCACCTTCCGAGGAAGTCAATGTCACAATGAATGCAGTGCCACATCGGTTTGCAATGTTTTATTTATTTAAAAGTCCTCATGGAAATTCAGTGGCATTTTAAAAGCATTGCAGTGGGTGGACTAGATGACCCATGGGGTCCCTTCCAATTCTGCAATTCTATAACTGAAATTTCATGCAAATTGCTTCTAAAATAGATATCTTTGCATGCCCTATTTGCCTAACATGCACATTTTTGCAAAGGCAACCCTTAACATACCTAATACTTGTTACTATTGTCACTATTATATGTAAATAATAATAATAATAATAATAATAATAATAATAATAATAATAAATTTATTTATGCCCTGCCCATCTGGCTGGATTTCCTCCAGCCACTCTGGGTGTCTTCCAGAAAAATATTAAAATACAATAATTCATCAAATATTAAAAGCTTTCCTAAACAGGGCTGCCTTCAGATGTCTTCGAAAAGTCAGATAGTTGTTTACTTCCTTGACATCTGATGGAAGGGCATTCCACAGGGCAGGAGCCACTACCAAGAAGGCCCTCTGCCTGGTTCCCTGTAATCTCACATCTCGCAGGGAGGGAACCGCCAAAAGGCCCTCGGAGCTGGACCTCAGTGTCCGGGCCGAATGATTGGGGTGGAGATGCTTCTTCAGGTATACTGGGCCAAGGCTATTTAGGGCTTTAAAGGTCAGCACCAACACTTTGAATTGTGCTCGGAAACGTACTGGGAGCCAATGTAGGTCTTTCAGGACCAGTGTTATATGGTCTTGGCGGCCTCTCCTGGTCAGCAGTCTAACTGCCGCATTCTGGATTAGTTGTAGTTTTGCACACTAGTATATGCACTCTCCTTTTTTTTTTGCACACATTATTTTGCCGGAGAACAGCATTGCAAAATTCAGAGAAGTGCAGATTTTAGAGGATGCCTCCGCTTTGGTTTGTGTATCGTTTCCGAAATTGTGAGTTGCATAGATTCACCCTGAAATGCAAATCTAATTTCTCCTTCCTCTCTACTGACTCTTCCCAATTCTTTAAGAATTGAACGTGGGAGCTTCTACATGCAACACATGTGCTCCCTGTCAGTGGCGGAGGAAGAGGAGTGCGGGGGGAGCGCACGGCCCCTGGCAGCGTGATCCTGGTGGGGTGCTATCACGGCTGTTCCCCCACCTGCGCTGGGTGCCACGCCCCCACAGGTGACGTGCCACACCCCCAGGAGTCATGCCACGCCCCCGGGATGCACACCAGCCCCACCCCCACCTGCTATCCGCCCCCCAGTACCGGAGCATGAAGCTCCGCTACTGCTCCCTGTTGCTTCAGAGGACAGTGCTAGTACCAATAAGTGGAAATGGCGGGGAAGCAAATCTCAGCTAAATTTTAGAAGGGACTTTCAAATGGTAAAAACATTGTTAGGCAGCTGAACTGGCTGTCTTCAGAGGTGGCAGGTGTTCCTTCGATGCCTGCATTTATTTGGCCCCAGACAGGGAAGCTGCCATTGACCTCATATTGATCAGAATGTTAGACTAGATGAACTCCAAGATCCCTCTCAGTTATACAAGATTCCATGAATTCATGAGATCTGATCCCTCTCCAGATTTAATTATTTTTAAGTCACATTGTTGAGGTTATCTCTTTTCTTTTCTTTTAGTTATAGTGGCGAAATAAGCAGGTGAGAGAAGAAGACCCCCCTCCCCCACAAAAAAAAACCCCAGCACAAATGAGCCGAATGTCGGGCAGGGGAGCTCAGAGACAGAGTGAATTTGTATGCAATTTTATTGCAATCTCCAGCTCGGAAGGAGTTCCTTAAATGCTGCTGGAAGGAGTATATAAAGTTATGCATGCCAGCCAGATTACTGCATAAAGGATGGAGAGAAATAAAAGAAGGAACAATAGAGGGAAAGGAACAAGAAGGAAGAGGGGGGAAATGGAACAAAAAAAGTTCAGACTGTAAGCTCATTGAGAGCAGAGGCCTATTTTTGTTTTTCCTTTCCTTACAGAATGATGGTTCTGCATGTATAAACGAACAAAGGGAAAGAGTAAAAAATGAAAAGAGAGAGAGAGAGGGAGAGTTGTGTGTTTTCTGTGAATAATTGGGACTAAAGAGAGGTGAGATTTTTCTTCTTCCCTTAGGGTGAAATCCAGTGCACGCACATAAGAAACTAGACCCACTGAAGTCATAGGAACATGCAGAACTTCGAAGCTGTCACTATTTGAGGGTGATATTTAATCACATGCCAGCAAGGTCAGGCCGCACAATTATTGCTGATGGGGAGGCCTTGTGCAACAAACCTGTTTCCCCAAGAGGTCAGACTCTATGCAATAAGGAAAGTGCTGCAGTAAGTGCAGGATAACACTGGTTTCGACACCAAGCCGTCTAACTTCCCCACAAACAAATCAGAACAGATTCTCATTAAATAGCCAGCATCGTCTAACCTCCCTACAAAGAAATAGGGCGAATGCTCAATAAACAGGTCGTCAGGAAGCAACGCAGTTAAAAGGTTAATAAACATCAGCAGGAACCAACTTACCAGTTCTTTCCTGAGCCAGTTGAGAGCCTCATCAATATTTCCAAAGCCACTGATTTTCTCCCGGGTCATCACCGGAACTTGCGCTTTCAAAGAGCCTCCATTGATATGAACTTGCACCTCTGTTAAAGGAACACTTTCCTCCATTGGTTTCTCATCCCGGCTGGCTTCCGCAGGAGGCTCCGGGTGGCTTTTCCATGCAATCCCCTCCAGCTGGGCCTTCCACTCCAAATAGGAGGGTCTCCTCGTCTCCAGCCTCAGTTTCTCTGTCAGAGCTTTTAGGTTCCGCAAGTGGTCGTCAGGAGGAGCACCGCCTCCCGTCTCAGGATCTGCACCGTCCAACATTTCTTCTATCTCAATCTTAGGGGCAGACACCTTACTTTCCGGCAGAATGCCATCAACATCCATCAAGAGGTTAGCAGAGGGCTCCAATATCCAGGCAACACCATCCATGCAGTGATCAGTTGCTCCAAATTTCCTTTGCTCAGAAGTTGGGACTCAGCGCTTTCAATCCAAGACACCCCCTTTAGCAACACGGGACACCATCTAAGCAGGAACACAAAGGCACATTGTTGGTTTTCAGCCACAAATTGTCAAGGGGGGAGAAGGGGGAGGAACGGACGAGCAACCAGAACTTCCTTATATGACCTGAACTTGAAAAAAATGGAAGTGAAAGCCTTCAGCCTAAACCGTCTCTCTAAGAGACTTCGCCCCGGCTGTCTGGTGATGTTCTCGGGCAAGAGCAAACAAGCTTTCTCTAGCTTTCCCGCAAAAGGCTTTGCCTGCTGCAGAGAGAGGCCTGTCAGGCACCGTGCTCAGGGCAAAGAAACGGATTACTAAGGATGAGGTCAGAGGGAGAGAAGAGTGGGAGAAATACTGTAGCAGAGTGTTGCACAATTAATAAACCCTTATCTTGTTACCATACTTGACACAATCTGAGCTTTGCATTGCTGAGCCTCACTACCTGGAAGGCAAGGAAGGGCTGGTGTAATGGCTTATGGGAGCCCACCCACAAAAGCGATTAACAGGTGCAGATCTTTATTTATTTCTTCATACTTCAAGCCTGCCCTGAGAGTGCAGGGAAACTAATATGGCACAATAACTCTATTTACTTTAATGGAACAACGGCATTCTTGCGGCGTTGCCAAGAAGGAAGATTGCATTCCAGAGGTCTGGGGAAACAAAAGGGTTGTGCACCTTGTGCTGAAATGAGGCTAAGATGGGGGACATTTGAGAGGGAGTTCCAGAACTGGGGTGGGGGGCCATCACCACGAATGCCCTGTCTCGTGTTGTGGGCCGTTCAACCAAAGCTGTACCCAGAGGGAAAGTGGGGCATCTCCACAGATGTTAATATTGTGGGGAGGCAATTTGGGAGAAAACCACTTCTGCCCTGCAGAGGAGGTGGGATTGCAGGCGTCACGGCCCAGCCCCCGCATGATTGGGGGAATCCCCGGCTGCGTCACCCCGTGGCCAGCCAATTGGCTGGCTTTGGGGAAGTGGCCCGCCCGATTTAAACTCAGGCGCGGCCAGGGATCTCCCTCTTTTCCCACATACCAGTCACTTGGTTTTCGCCTACCTCATAGCAAGTCGTCACAACTTTCTTAGTATTGGCGGTTAGGCATTGGTATTGGTATTGTTTTGTAGATGGAAGAGGGGAGGAAGCACCATCACCTGCCCCGCATATTGAAGGGTAGTCCGATAAAGGATTCCGGGGGGAGTGGCCCTGTCCGAAGCCTATGGAGGTGAGGGCCTAAGGCACACCCCCGAGTAGTGACCCCGGGGGAGTTCCTAGTTGATGTGCATCAGCAGGACTCCCCCTACTGGTGGTTAACCCTTCCCGGACTTCAAGCAGATGGGCTGGAGTAGGATATAGTGGGTTAGGACCAATGCCCAAGCCAATACCACTCATCACCTGCAACCAATAAAGTTGTGGCCTTATCTAGCCCATTAACCTTAATAATTGTGTCATGTGTCTTTATTTCCACTGGGGGGAATGGGAACTCACCACACAAAGTATGTGCAGGTTTAACGGTGTGGGATGAGCGCTACCTGAGGGAAAGCACTTGTGAGGAGTCTGGATCCGTTTTTGTGTGCTGCTGCCTACCAGATCCAGCATACATAGGGTGAAGAGCCGTCCAAGGCAGTGCCTCAACTCAGAATCCTGGGGTCCCCCTGTGTGATGGCCTGGGAATCTGATTCAGAGGCTGAACTGGAGGACTCCCAGCCTGCACAGGAGTCCCCGCCTCCGGGGCAGGCGCTTGAATCTGAAGGGCCTGCACCTGTGCCAGATCCTCAGGAGCAGACACCTGATGTATCTGCTCTGGCTCCGGAGGTGATCAAGGACCCATTGCCTGCAAGGACCCAGCCCTCTCAGGGGAAGGTGAGGTTGCCTCTGGGTCCAGTAACCCTCCAGCCTCTCCTGAGCTACAGAGACTCAGGGCAGAGAGGCGGAGGGAACTAAGTTCTCTCAGGAGGAGTGCTCGCCTTAAGGCCAGGAGAGGCGGGTCACCTGTGGACCGGGGCTGCCCTAGGCCTCAGAGGAGTTAAAGGCCAGTCAGCCCAGTCCCAGGTTGCGGGAGCAACATCGTTGGTTACCTGTTCGTGCTGGCACACTGTCCTGCTTTCTGCCCGAGTTCCTGACCACGCCCGACTCCCTACCTTGGACCCCAGTTAGGCCTCGGACCATGCCGCACGGTAACCCCCTGGGACCAACACACCCTGTTTGCTCTGCTAGCACCATGTCACTCACTGCAGACCCCGGCCATCAAGTCCAAGCTCCCACAGCTGTTGACCCACATGCACCACCATCAGCTACAGCAGTAGAGGGCAGGGGGGCTGGAGCGGAATGAGCCCATGGAGAAATATAATCAGTCAGTCAAACCCTAATGGGAGATGCTGGGGGTTGAACCTGGAACCTTCTGCATGCCAAGCAGATGCTCTACCCATGAGCAACACAGCAAGGTGCCTTTTACTGAATCAGATCATTGGTCCACCTAGCTCATTAATGTCAATGGCAGCAGCTCTAAGATTTCAGATGGGGAGACTTTTCCCAGCCCTATCTGGAGATTCTGGGACTGATTCTGGGGACATTCTACAAGCAAAGTGAATGCCCTACCAGGGTAGACCCTCCCAGTGTCCCTATTTGCCAGGGACAGTCCTGGATTTACAGAAGCCCTCCTGGTTTCTGATTCGATCCCTGAATGTCCCGAATTTCCTTAGGACGTCTCTGTTTTCAATGGAGAAATGTTGGAGGGTATGGTTGGAAGTCCCTATTTTCATTGGGGGAAAGTTGGAGGGGGCATCTCTATTTTCAGTGGAGAACTGTTGTAGGGTATTGAATAGGACATCCTTATTTTCATTGAAGAAATGTTGGAAGGACATTTCTATTTTCATACGATCCCCAAGCCATCTGAAGTTTTTTAATGTTTAATGTTTCATTAAGTTCATTAAGACAATAAAGGTATTATTATTATTAGCATCATCATCAACATTAAATAGGACACCCCTATTTTCATCGGAGAAATGTTGGAGGATATGTTCAAGAAGCAGGCTGAACAGAGAACATAAATCAGCTGGTTAGGAGAAGAGAGAAGGGCAGGCCCAGCAGATCCACCTCCTCATTCCTCCTGAGCAGCCTTATCAACATTGAGGCCTATGAGGATCCTCAGGACTGGGAACGGAAGAAAAAAACCAGCCATGGCTTCTGGCCACCCTCTTTTTCTTTTGTGTTAGGTCTAGGAATTGTTGCTGTGTTGCTTCTGTGGACAATTTGCTTCGTGTTTCCTCCTCTGGATGCTTGCGGGCTATGATTCATGCCACTCCAGGGTGGGGTGGCAGAGAAAGGTGTTCAGCTGCTCAGAAGCCACAGAGAGTCTGTTGGCACCAAGTGGATTGGCTGCCCCACATAAGAGATGAGGTGGGAACCGTTGCTATGACCCTTGATTGTGTCATCTATCTCTGTTCGCAAATATATGCCTTTTTACGCACGTTTCAGGGACACGGGTGGCGCTGTGGGTTAAACCACAGAGCCTAGGACTTGCCGATCAGAAGGTCGGCGGTTCGAATCCCCACGACTGGGTGAGCTCCCGTTGCACGGTCCCTGCTCCTGCCAACCTAGCAGTTCGAAAGCACACCAGTGCAAGTAGATAAATAGGTACCGCTCTGGTGGGAAGGTAAACAGCGTTTCCTTGTGCTGCTCTGGTTCGCCAGAAGCAGCTTAGTCATGCTGGCCACATGACCCGGAAGCTGTACGCCAGCTCCCTCGGTCAATAAAGCGAGATGAGCCCCGCAACCCCAGAGTCATCCGTGACTGGACCTAATGGTCAGGGGTCCCTTTACTTTTACCTTTATGCATGTTTCATCCTAGAATGTGTGTTGCTTTGCTGGAGAACTGCATTGCAAAATTCAGAGTAGTGCTGGCTTTGAAGGATAGCTGTGTTTCAGTTAGTGCGTCATTTTAGAAAGTGTGAATTAATATCTTAATATCGTGTGTGTGTGTGTGTGTGTGTGTGTGTGTGTGTGTGTTTACACCCAGGTATTTGGTATTAAGCTGGTATTCTTATTTTTTGTCACTGTTGTTCTGCTTGCTTACCTTAAGGCAGAATTGTTAATTTGTTGTTTATTCGGCTCATTCATATTATTTTGCTAATTTTGTGCATTGCTTTGTTTTTATCACTTGATTCCCTGCTCTGGGGTTGAAACTATTCAGCGCAGAGCAGGCTTTAAAAGCTGTAAGTAATATAAATAAATAAATTAAGAGAGCTGGATTTGAATCTCACCTTTACCATAATATATCAACAAAAACAAAAACAGTGTTGCCTTCCCCTCTGCCCCAAATTTATCCGAATGGGAAAGAGAGAAATAAGAATGTGACCTTCTCCAAAATGACACAATTAGATCTGGTACTGGATTCAGAAACGGTTCACGCTTCTTCTTCTAAGGGTGCGATGTAAAGCAAAACCAACTTTTTGTCCACCTGGGAACGTGGCCAGAAATGAACTCTTGGAACGACCTCGTGCAAACGCATTAAAATGTAATTTGAGCTATTGGGTAATTGTCCAGCCTGCTGAACGCTTGCTGGGAATTCATATAATTCTGACACCAAATCTGTAATTATTCCGGGGGAATCTTTTCACAGAAAGAATTCTATTGAAAAACAAATCTTTTTAGAGAACACAGGTCTACTTTCTCCTCAATGTCGCCATTGTTCTGGGGGCAGATGCTCTAAATGGGATGTTGATAAAAGGTATTCACAGAGAGAGAGAGAAGAAAGTGAATCTCTGGCTCCCTTGTGACTGTTAATTGGGCATTTGTTTTATTTTTTGGAGAGTAGGCAGATAATGCAGGTAAATAATTTGAGACTCTTGTCTTAATAAACATAAGTCATCTAAAGGAGAGAGGTGATGCTAAGGCCATTTCAAACCAAAACACTTCCATCCTTCAAAACCCATCTGAATTTTCAAAGCAGTTTTTCAGGCAGGTAATGGGGACAAAAATGTACACACTGGGCTCAAGAGAGACTGTGTGGTGCAGTGGTTAGAGAGTTGGGCTAGCAATCCTCACTTGGCCATCAAGGTCACTGGGTGACCTTGGGCCAGTCATAGTCTCTCAGTCTAACCTACCTCACAGGGTGGTTGTGGAGGTTAAATGGGGAATGGGAGAAGAATGTTTGCCTTGGAGAAAAAAATGGGATATAAATGCAACTAATCAAGTGTGCATAAAGATGCGTATAATGACAAAAGAAGAAATAAAAGTAGCTATGGGCAAGCAATTTAAAACCACACAGCGTCTAGCACAGTTAATACAGCTGCTACAATAGGCAGAAGAAGAAAATCAAATGCCTGTGGCGAAACTCCAAGCAGGACCCCGTCACAAGAGCAACACTCTCGCCTCCTGTGGGTTCCAGCAACTGCTTTTTAGAAATCGGGTCCTCCCTTAAAGAGGGCATGTGTTGTGGTGAGACCTGACAACCTAACCCTGTGTTGTGGGTGGGTATGTTTGGATAGCCACAACAACCAATTGGTAGGTCCCTTGATGCAGGGTTCAATCAGGTCAGTGGGACTCAAGCTAAACAGATCAAGGGACCTATTTATACCCATGCACATGACCCAGAGCTTCCTCTTTCGGTGCGTGCATCGGAACACCTGCCCACCTCTCCCTATATTTAGGGCTTTGCGCTTGACCTTGCTATGCCGTCACGTGTCGTCTGTCATTGGGACATGGACACGGCAGGAATTTTCCCCACTTGGCTGATTGGCTGTTGCTATTTGGGTTTCGCCTGCAGTGTAGCAAATCGTCACAACTTGTATGGTTGCGGATAGGCTCTGGTTCAGGTGATAGGGATGGGAGAACGCTCTCCCATCCCTATGTGAAGGGTATTCCGTTAAAGAAATCCAGGGACTCGATGGTTTGGTCAACCCCTGAGAGGGGGTTGTGCCCGTGCCTGAGTCCAGGGGGGCATTTAGGTGGTGGAGATACCCTGCTCCTGGCTTTCTGCTTATCTAGGTGTTCACCCTTGGCTGACCTATGCTGGTGCCCTGGGTCAGCGCTACCTGCAACGGTGCAGAGAACTAGTCGAACCACAGCCTATGCGACCGTTCACTTGCCGTAATCAATAAAGTTGTGGCCTAAATTCTGCCAAAAACCAAACCAAAATTTGAGACTTGTCTGAATTTATTTAAGGGGGAGAGTGGCGCTGTGGGTTAAACGACAGAGCCTAGGACTTGCCGATCAGAAGGTCGGCGGTTCGAATCCCCGCTACAGGGTGAGCTCCCGTTGCTTGGTCCCTGCTCCTGCCAACCTAGCAGTTCGAAAGCACGTCAAAGTGCAAGTAGATAAATAGGTACCGCTCCGGCTGGAAGGGAAACGGCGTTTCTGTGCACTGCTCTGGTTAGCCAGAAGCAGCTTAGTCATGCTGGCCACATGACCCAGAAGCTGTACGCCGGCTCCCTCAGCCAATAAAGCGAGGTGAGCGCTGCAACCCCAGAGTCAGTCATGACTGGACCTAATGGTCAGGGGTCCCTTTACCTTTACCTTAAAGGTCTAAACATGCAAGGTTGATGCCTCCAATCGTGGAAGCAGAGCATACCTGGAAATGCCGGGACTTAAACCTGGGATTTTCTGCATTCAGTGCAGATGTTGTTCCTTGGATTGTTTTCAATCTGGCTGGTGAACAGAAGGCTGGACTAGAAGAGACTTTGGTCTGTTCCATCTTTGATGTTCTAACGTCTGCAACGTCTGTAAACAGGGAAGACTACAAAGCCCAGCCGCTTTTATTTTTAGCAGCGCTTTGGGTTTATTTACTTCCTTCTCAGACATCGGCTTCTCCTGTCCAAAATGATGGCTGCACAAATGACCTTTGACTTAGGGAGGCCCATCACCATGGTTACTGTGAATCTATTCCCCTATCTAGAGGAAGATCTTCTTAATCAAGGGGAGCGGTTTAGCAAGGGCCATAAATGCAACTGGCTCTTCATGCAGGGAATTCGTTTTCCTCTCTCCCTCCCTCCACCATAATTCATAAACTGAAGCTGAGGTGAACGGGACTTACCTGTCTCCAGCTTGCCTTTTCCTCGCAATGTTTGGAGGCAAATCGGCGAGATTTTCTTCGAGGAAAGAGCGTTCATGTATCCAGGAGGACTGCAGTCAGCCTTGAAAGTCCCTCCAGCCAGAGGAGAGGTTAACTGCCATCTGTGTGATAAAAATATATTGAGCAATCAATTAAAGCCACCAGGAAGAAATATGTCAGCCTGGAAATTTACAGAGAAAGAGAGAGAGAGAGAACTTAACTTCGAAAAGTCCCAGGGCTGATTCTCACAAGTGAGTCAACATCACAATGTATTTTAATTTTAATACAAATATTAATGATAGTTATTATTTGCATTTATTTGTCACTTACAACAGAAAATGTCTCAGAGCAACATTGGATTCCTGGTGAGGCAGTTTACCATTTGAACCACACTACCACACACTATGCAGGTGGCACTGTGGTCTAAACCACTAAGTCTTGGGCTTGCTGATCAAAAGGTCAGTGGTTCGAATCCCCATGACTGGCTGAGCTCCTGTTGCTCGGTCCCAGCTCCTGCCAATCTAGTAGTTGGAAAGCACGCCAAAAATGCAAGTAGATTAATAGGTACCGCTCCGGCAGGAAGGTAAATAGCGTTTCCGTGCATTGTTCTGGTGTCAGTGTTCTGTTGCTCCAGAAGCGGCTTAGTCATGCTGGCCACATGACCCAGAAAAACTGTCTGCGGAGCGGACAAACACTGGCTCCCTCGGCCTGTAAAACAAGATGAGTGCCCCAACCCCAGAGTCGTTTGTGACTGGACTTAACTGTCAGGGGTCGCTTTACCTTTACCTTCACCACCCATATATGCTTTGCTGTGAAAGGGTCAATCTCGATTTGGGAGTGTGGTGAAGGAATTGCATGCCGGTGTCCCCACCAAGAAATGTCTTGGCGTTCTCTAGGAGATGATCTACCCAGGTGAGGCTGCCTACCTGTCAATCACTTGACATCCCAATGGCATCAAGTGACCTGGTTTGGCCCACACCTTTTGGAATCAACCAGCATGGACAAAGGCACAGTGCTTTTCAAGTGCTGATGATCAGAGCAGTTGGCTTGGCCTTTCGGACTCAATGGGGATATATTTAATGTGCGTGTCTAACACCAACATCTTCCCCAAAAGAGCAGAAGTAAATAACATGATAGCCAATTGATTAGGATCAACATGACAGCAATCCTAACTCCCGTGCATTGTTTCCTGTGAGTAAGCTTCCTTGACCTCAGTGGTGCTTGCTTCTCGTTGCATAGGTTCAAGATGTGGAAGACATTGAACTTTAATGAAAGGTCATCAGCTGACCGAAATGGCTTTTAATTAGAAACGCAGTCTTGCAAAGACCTGCTGCCTTCGAAACAGCTATTGTGAAGCAGGAACCTCATTAAAAAAGGAGATGAATCTGGCCTCTGCTTGGTTATATTTCTCATTCTCCGACTCTCTTTACGGCTACAGTAAAAGGTCACGAGCAAACGTGAAAGCCTTGCTATCACCTTTTTCACTTGCTGTAGCAATGAAGGACCACCAATTGCCCTTGTGCTCCAGCAGATCACATAAGCACTCAAGAGCACAAGAGCACTCTCCTCTCCTAGATCAGCTGGTTAGAGCACGGTGCTGATAATGGCAAGGTTGCAGGATCAATCGCCATATGAGACAGCTGCTTATTCCTGCATCGAAGGGGGCTGGACTAGATGAGCCTCACAGTCCCTTCCAACTCTCCAATTTTATGATTCCTGTGATGGAGGAGATGTTTGCAAGAGGTAGCAGAGTCACCTTCAACCTTGCGGAATTGGATTGTGGGATCTTCATTGCTTGCACAACACAGAGATTGTTAGGAGCATCCTACTCTTGTGTAGGACCCTGGCAGAGACACATGCCCGACCGGCATGTTCTCTCCCTCATGGTCGATCGTTCGGAAGCTTCAAAAGCTTTCTTCAGCCCAAACATCACAGCGACCAAGAAGGATAAGCATACTTAGGGATCCACAGTGTATTCGTTGTTTGCGTAACAGACCTCAGTAGCACAGCATTTTGGCTAATCTACTTTATTTACATATAATACACTCGGAGCATTCTGCCTTAGCTCCTTTCCTCTTTCTCATCAGACAGCAAAGAGAAAGAAACAAAGGACAACAGTCCTACTTTCCGGAACACAGTAGTACAAAACATCCTGTCTCCATCTTCTTCCCACACTGTGGAATGAAAACATACACCGTCATGTGATAGACAGCAATCTCATGACTACAAACATGGGACAGGAATCCCAACAGAGATAACCCCCCTGCCTACCTCTGTAGAAAACTAACGGCTTTGCTAGAACATTCTGATGCCGCAAGCTCATTCTTTAATCAAGTACCTCAAAGTGCGTAAGTGGACGGTGTTTGCATTATTACAGTGGAGAGGTATTTAAGTATATACTTAAGCAATTAGCATTCCTTTGCAGCTTGAAGGAGCTCCCGTTACATAGTTCACATATCGTCACCCAACTTTTTAAAAAGTCACAAGCAGCCCTACTCATAACCAGGAAGCATTTTAAGAAAAGAAAAAGAAAGAGAATGTTACAGGCGTTTGCAAGGAGTGGCTGCATCAGGTGCAGATCAGAAACCCAGATAAGGGCGGCATAATGCAAGCTGTTATGAAAAGATTCCAGCCACAAAGCTGGCAGATTTCAGGATCTTCCCTGACAAGATAAGAAGAAGTTCTAAGCCCTTTGTTGACAAGGTCCTTCTGTACCCTAAAGAAATTCAACCCCTTCTTAGAGGCGTTGGATGGAGTTCCAGAACCAAAGCCAAGTATGATCTTTGCATTCCTCCCAGTTCTTTGGAGTAAAATGAGGCGACTTTAGCCGAAGGGGAGGCACGGCTCATTACCCTCAGAGAGTTGGAAAACATCCATTGCACCTGTGCAGAGCATGTCAGTATGTGAAGGGAGGGACATTTAATCTATAAGACCCTGCACACCCCAGAAAGCAACAGGCTTTGACAGTAAATGGGGAGAGATGCAATTTGGGTGTTCAGAGCAGCAACTGTCAGGAGGTCCTACACATGAGTAGGAGTCCAGCAGAGACACATGCCCTCCTTGTCGTTCTTTCGGGAGATTCAAAAGCTTTCTCCAGCCCAAACATCACTGCGTCTGATACCAAGAGGCATCAGCACACATCAGGATCAGCAGAGTATAGACAGTCAGCGTTCAGACTCAGTAGCACAGGTTTTGGCTATACGTTTATTTACATATACACACTTGGAGCATGGTAACTCAGCTCCTTCCTCTTCAGCGTCAGACAGCAAAGAGAAAGAACAGAGGGCAAATGACCTACATCACAGAAACACAGTAATAAAAACATCCTGCCTCTGTCACTTCCCACCAGAGCGGTACCTATTTATCTACTTGCACTGGTGTGCTTTCAAACTGCTAGGTTGGCAGGAGCAGGGACCGAGCAAAGGGAGCTCACCCCGTCACGGGGATTCGAACTGTCGACCTTCTGATCGGCAAGTCCTAGGCTCTGTGGTTTAACCCACAGTCCACAATAGGAATTCCACATTGTGCTATATTGAATGTCTTACCAGCACAAGCGTTTCATCTTGCCAGAAGGAATGGTGCTATTATTGTTAGGACCTGGGCAGGGAGGAGAATTATACCCCTCTCGCATGCTGCAGCCCCCATGAAAACCATCATGAAGAAGGATATTGACAAGCTGGAACTAGTTGAGAGGAGGGTGACCAAGAGGCTGGAGACAACAGTTAAAGAAATTGGACATGAGAAGACTGAGAGGTGATATGATACCCATCTTCAAATATCTGAAGGGCTGCCACATAGAAATGAGATTCTGACTGAACATTAGGAAGAACTTTCTGATGGTGAGAGCCATTCAGCAGTGGAATGGACCACTTCAGAAGTTGGTGGGCTCTTCTTCCATGGTGGTTTCTAAACAGAGGTTGGGTGGTCGTCTGTCAGAGATGCTTTAGCTGTGAATCCTGCATTTCGGGAAATTCAACTAAGCACGTCCCTTGGGTTTCCACCCAGCTCTACAAATCTACTGCCCCCTGGGTCCCTTCCAACGTTAAGATTCTATTATTCTATGAGCTTGCTCCATCTTCAATGTGAAGATATTTGAATCTCTCAAAGGACCTGTTGATGGCATTTTACCATTGTACTGCTGAGAGTGTATTAACTTATGGTCTCTGTGTGTGGTTTGGGAGCTGTACAGTCAGGGGAAAAACAATGCTGTCCAGGGTTGTAAAAGACTGCAGAGAGAATAATTGGGTGCACTCTTCCCACCTTGGATCAAATCTATGCTTCCAGGTGCCATAAGAAAGCTGCAGAGATAGCGCAGGATAGTGCGCACCCCAGAAATGAACTCTTTCAGCTTCTGCTTTCTGGAAGAAGGTACAGGGTTATAAAGACTAGGACTAGCCACCTGAGAAACAGTTTCTATCCAAATGCGATTTTGGTTTTAAATGCAGTGTAAGGTAGTCTCTATGGAAGTATATTGTATTGAATTATGGGATATCAGAATTTTTAGGGGGTTAACCAGGCTGGGATAGCTGGGATAGCAGGCTTGTTGGGTTTTGAATGTCTGATGTAGGTTTTTTCAATTTCGTTGTTCTGTATGGGACAATGACAATAAAGATTATCGTATTAATGGCTATCATATTGCCTCTCAGTCTCATCTTCTCCAGGCTAAGCACACCCAAATCCCTTAACTGTTCCTCATAAAGCTTGGTTTCCAAACCTTTGATCATTTTGGTTGCCCTTCTGCACATGGTCCAGCTTGTCAATATCCTTCTTAAACTGTGGAACCAGAACTGGGCCCAGGACTCCATGTGCGGTCTGACCAAGGCAGAATGGGGTAGAACTATCACTTCCCCTGACCTGGACAACTAGACTCTTGTTGATGCATTTGTTGAATCGCATTACCTTTATTTTGCCTTTTTGTTGACTATAATTTCAGTTTCAATTACAGTAATTATTTCTATGTGTGCATCTATGCAGATGCAAATAATCCTTTCATGTGTGAGAGTGAGGCATACTTTTGGCAAGTGTTTATCCTAAAATAGCCTGTGCTATGGCAGCTTCCTATGAATGACTTAGAGACCATGTCTCCAAACAACTTTGATTCCTTTTGGAAATATACTATATTTAGTGTACTCTCAGACTGGGGAAGATGAAGAAGAAGAAGAAGAAGAAGAAGAAGAAGAAGAAGAAGAAGAAGAAGAAGAAGAAGAAATTATTTGCACCCCGCCCATCTGGCTGGGTTTCCCCAGCCACTCTGGGCTTCCAACAAAGATTTAAAATACATTAAAATGTCACACATTAAAAACTTCCCTGAACAGGGCTGCCTTCAGATGTCTTCTAAATGTCAGGTAGTTGTTTATCTCTTTGACATCTGATGGGAGGGCGTTCCACAGGGCGGGTGCCACTACTGAGAAGGCCCTCTGCCTGGTTCCCTGTAGCTTTGCTTCTCGCAATAAGGGAATCGCCAGAAGGCCCTCTGAGCCAGACCTCAGTGTCCAGGCACAACGATGGGGGTGAAGATGCTCCTTCAGGTATACTGGGCCGAGGCTGTTTAGGCTTTCTCCCTTCTGTTCATGGGGTTTTTTTAAAAAACCAAAAAGGATAAATTTTACTTTATTTTGTTTTATTGACAGGAGCCACACCTGTGAGGCGGTGGGTCTCCTACATCAAGCTTCAGCACTTTCTCTGTGGCAACTTTGCATTGATAAACGTTGCCATAGTGATCAGCGAAGAGATGGCCAGCAAGCTTTGAAGCCACGGGTGAGCAACGAGGCTCTTCAAAAAAGAAAAAGAAGAAAAGCATCTTCCACAGCCACACTTTCTTCCCTGTCCTTTAGTGGCAAGGGGAAAACCAAGCAAGGGGGTGTTGGGCTGTGTGAAAGAAAACTGGGTGCCAGTTTGAAAAGAGATTTTAAATTGTTTTGCTTTAGAGGACGTGTCATGCATGGGCAATCCCACCACCCTCCCTCCGAATACTTGCCTACATTTGGAGGAGGGAAATAGGCAAATGGAATGGCTGATGGGAGTTGTAGTTCAGCAACAACTCTGGAGGGCCAAAGGTGCCCCACTCGATTTAGGCCCTAAAACTTTTTTGGGGGGATAGAAACAGGGGCAGAGGAAGGGGGAGGTGGGGACGGTCCGACCCTGGTGTCACCACTGAGGGGGTGGCAAAATGCCGGGTGGTACTCACCATGGGGCCTGTAGCGTGCCCTAGCCACACGACTCTCCTGGGAGAGACGCTGTGCTAGGCCCGGGGGTAACCCGAGCAACGCGGTCCAGGTCCAGTCCTGAATCCAAGGGTTCCGTGGGGAGTCAGTCCGACAGGGCCAAGACAGGGCACGAGGCAGGAAACCAGGACAGGACAGGTCCAGGATCACAGGCAGGTTCGGGAAACAGCAACGTTGCTCCCGCAACCTGGGGCAGGATCCAGCAGCCTTTTATCTCTGTCGGGATAACGGCCGGTCCTGATCCTCCGGTGACTCACCTCCCTGTCTCACCCAAAGGCAAGCACTCCTCCTGCAAGTACTCAGGTCTCTCCTTCTCTCAGACCTCAGTCTCTGCAGCTCGGGAGACGTCGGTGGGTTACTAAACCCAGGGGCCACCTCAGCCTCCCCTGACCCAACCGGTAGTGGAGCAGCTGTAAGTGATGGCCCACCTGGAGGCAACGAGGTAATCCCCGCATCTGGAGCCAGGGCAGGCTCAGGCCCCTGACTCGGCCCAGCTGGTGTTTGTTGCAGGGGAACCTGTGCAGACTGGGGCTCTTCAGAATCAGGCCCCAGACTAGGTTCAGCTGCCGCCCGAGGCAAAGGGTCTGGTGCGGACTGAGACTCCTCTGGCTCTGAGTCCGAGCCCGAGTCTCAGGCCATCACAGACGCGGTGGCTTGGGTGTCCGCAGGCTTCGCGCTGCCCAAACAGTCCGCCCGCTGCCTGCCCCCCAGCTGTAGGGCGGCTGAGTGGGAGGAGGCAGGCAGACTCCTCAGAGGCCCCACGGTATGTCCTTCCCGGCTCGCCCCACCCCTGCGGGTGGCTGGCCCCACCCCTGGGCACAGGGCATGCGTGCCGCCCCAGGCGCCCAATCAGCTTGCTCTGCCGCTGGGCAGAAATGGCCTGCGGGGCACAGACTAGCCACCCCTGGTTTCGGTTCTGCATGCACACAGTGCTAAGTGACCATTCAGTAGACCAGGTTTCCTCAACATCGGCCCTCCAGATGTTTTGGGACTACAATTCCCATCATCCCTGACCACTGGTCCTGCTAGCTAGGAATCATGGGAGTTGTAGGCCAAAAACATCTGGAGGGCTGAGGTTGAGGAAGCCAGCAGTAGACTGTCATATCAGACCTATGCCAAGGGCCAATGATTGATCAAGGCCCCAGATACCCCATTAAAAATAAAATCCCAACAACTTGGAATTCCGCTTATCATCAGCATGAGGCCATCATTTCGATTTCCTATCGCGCCGCTAAATATTTGATGTTAAAAAATAGGATAAGAAAATTTGCAGGAACAAATTCATTCCAGCCCTGCTGAGAGTCCTTAGCGTTTGCTGACAACAGGATGCAATTTTCTAGTGCTTTTGCAGAAGGAGGTTGAGAAATTGCAGAACAGCATTTTTCCACCTTCCCAAAGCTGTGCATTGCAAAAAAAAAAAAAGGAACATCCTCCTCATTTAAATGGATGCATGGACGTGAGCCTGCAAATGGGTAAACAAATATAGGAGCTAAGCCAATGAATAATAAATGGGAGATTCGTATTATATCAGCGCATTATGCCCTTGGGGAAATCTCTCCCAGGGTCTGTTTGCTTGAACCTTGGTGGGGGGGTCACATGGTGCTAAGATTGCCAGAATTTTAACTCAAGAAATCCAGCATTTCTAGGCATGTGTGATGTACTGGTCAGAGTGCTAGACAAGGACTGGGGAGACTTGGGTTCAAATCCCACCGCAGTCACGCAGCTCACTGGGTGACCTTGGGACTAGACTGTCTTTCAACCTATCCTACATCGCAGGGTTGTTGTGGGCAAAAAAGGGGGAGTAGAGAATGATGAATGTTGCCTTGAACTCCTTGATTGAATTATAATAATTGCCTTCCTTTTCAACATCTACATGAAACCACTGGGAGAGATCATCAGGGGGTTTGGGCTGGGTGTTCATCAGTATGCGGATGATACCCAGCTCTAGCTCTCTTTCAAATCAGAACCAGTGAAGGCGGTGAAGGTCCTGTGTGAGTGTCTGGAGGCGGTTGGAGGATGGATGGTGGCTAACAGATTGAGGTTGAATCCTGACAAGACAGAAGTACTGTTTTGGGGGGACAGGAGGCGGGCAGGTGTGGAGGACTCCCTGGTCCTGAATGGGGTAACTGTGCCCCTGAAGGATCAGGTGCACAGCCTGGGAGTCATTTTGGACTCACAGCTGTCCATGGAGGCACAGGTCAAATCTGTCTCCAGGACAGCTGTTTATCAGCTCCATCTGGTACGCAGGCTGAGACCCTACCTGCCCACAGACTGTCTCGTCAGAGTGGTGCATGCTTGGACTACTGCAATGCATTCTACGTGGGGCTACCTTTGAAGGTGACCCGGAAACTACAACTAATCCAGAATGCGGCAGCTAGACTGGTGACTGGGAGTGGCCGCTGAGACCACATAACACCAGTCTTGAAAGACCTACATTGCCTCCCAGTACGTTTCTGAGCACAATTCAAAGTGTTGGTGCTAACCTTTAAAGCCCTAAATGGCCTCGGTCCAGTATACCTGAAGGAGTGTCTCCACCCCCATCATTCTACCTGGACACTGAGGTCCAGCTCCGAGGGCCTTCTGACGGTTCCTCCCTGCGAGAATCCAAGTTACAGGGAACCAGGCAGAGTGCCTTCTCGGTAGTGGCACCCGCCCTGTGGAATGCCCTCCCACCAGATGTCAAAGATAACAACAACTACCAGACTTTTAGAAGACATCTGAAGGCAGCCCTGTTTAGGGAAGCTTTTAATGTTTGATGTATTACGGTATTTTAATATTTTGTTGGAAGCCTCCCAGAGTGGCTGGGGAAGCCCAGCCAGATGGGCGGGGTATAAATAATTTTATTATTATTATTATTATTATTATTATTATTATTATTATTAGTGGCATACTGCCTTTTTAGGTAGGTACGTTTTTGAAAACAGAAAAGCATCCTTTTGTGCATACAGTGGTACCTCAGGTTAAGCACTTAATTCATTCTGGAGGTCTGTTCTTAACCTGAAACTGCTCTTAACCTGAAGCACCACTTTAGCTAATGGGGCGTCCTGCTGCTGCCGCGCCACAGGAGCACAATTTCTGTTCTCTTCCTGAAGCAAAGTTCTTAACCCGAGGTAATATTTCTGGGTTAGTGAAGTCTGTAGCCTGAAGCATATGTAACCTGAAGTGTATGTAACCCCAGGTACCACTGTATTTGCAAACTGTGCTAAAAATGGATCCACCCCATTTGATAGCAAACAACAAGAGCAACAACCTTTCTTATTTTCTTTTTGGCTTCTAAAGCACCCTTTCCAGTCTTGGATCCTGAGGAGTTAGGAACTTAGGAAGGTGTCTTATATACCAACTCAGACCACTGGTTCATCTGAGCAGGGACTTTCTGGGGTCTGAGGCAGGAGATGTTCCCTACCAAGGGTTGAACCTGAGACCGTCTGCATGCCAAGCAGACCTCCTGAGCATCCTCCCCCAAGGGCTGAGATCAAAACCTGTCACTAGCTGTGGAAGAGAACCCACCTTTGGATTGCTTTTCTTTCGCATTTTCAAAAAGAGTATGCAGAACAGCAGACAAAAGGAGAGAGGGAGGGAAAACCCACCCATTTCATCAATGAGAACTGCAAAGGGTGTGGAACGTGAACCTTTTCAGTAAGGCTTTCGAAGACGGGGGTGGGGAGCTGAGTCTGCAATCATATGAAAATCACAGGCTCTGAGGGGAGAAATTCGAATCCAGTTCTCATTCAAAGGCGAACATACGAAATTTGCACTTTTTGAAATAATATGCGGAGTCCTCTTCTCAAATTCACACTTGTGCGAATTTTGCTGGGCAAGTAACAGGCGTGAATGTGCATACACTGGGATGAAGCATGCATAGAAATGCACAGTTTGGGGAAAACAGCATATAAAAATGCATTAAATTGGGGGAAATTGCTTTGCAAAAAACATAATGTAGATTAAGGTGGGGGGGAATGCACACAGAAATATTCGCAGACGGAGAAATTTGCACTAAAATACAGGTGAATGTTCATGAGGACTAGTAGATTTTTCTCTTTACGTGCAAATTCATGGGGAAATGTGGAGTACCGGATTCAAGATAGGAAGAATAAGAAAAACAGAGAGAGACAGGAATGGGCTGATCTGCCCTCGTTCTCTCCAGTTGCAGAAACCACAGGACCCATCACATTCAACTAGGTGCAACATGGGTTCAAACAAAATCTCACTACCTTTTCTGCTCGCTGTATTTGTGGACGCTGCTTCATTCAAAGCGCTGCTCCCCATTCCACATCTCCCCACAACCAGAAGGCATCTCGGCTGCTCTTACTTGAAACCTCACGTCCTATTGTCCTTCTATCGTTGATACCACGCTTCCTGCACCCCTCATGACTTCTTGGCGGGGTGTGTGTGAGAGAGAGCGGTCAGAAGGAGTGCTGTTGTGGGGCTGCTCACACACCCAGCAAGCAACAGGCTCAGACATAAAGCCTGCCGTCCCTTATCAGAAGATAAGCAGAGAGACATCTATCCTAATTCCTTTAAGCAGGTTTTAGGGGACGAAGGGGCGTGTTCCTTTCTGCGGAACCGGCTGCCGAAGCTGCACTCTTGCAGTCGCAACCTTCGTGGTTTTTAGAAATATATGTATATATAGGATGAAATTGCCCTGGGGAACAAGATGCGTAAATGTCAAAGTCTCCACCTGCTAGTAAGAGCCCTTGGGTAAGCACGGGTGCAAGAATTTGCACACCATTGATAAGGTACCGATAACATCTTCAGGAAACGATCATTCCCTGCCTCCTTTCAGGTGGTGGGTGGGATGGAAGGTGGCAGAGAAGCTGGAGAGTTAAAAATATATTAAACTTACCAGAATTTGCATGGCGTCAGGGGCATCCCCCATTAATATTCCAGTGGTGAGACTTCAATGCTTTGCTCTGCCTCTCAAAGCTCGGCTTTCTAACTTGAATATCTTCAGCTGTGCTGCTGCTGATGTTGCTTCCAGTCCTCCTCTAAACCTCCAAGTCACTGGCTGTGTCTCTCTTGGCTTTGAAAAATGTGTGTGCATCTGTTTCTCTTTTTTTTCAAAGGGACTTCTCTCCCACCGTGTGTGTGTGTGTGTGTGTGTGTGTGTGTGTGTGTGTGGTTGCGTCAAGGCCGTTGCCTAGCTACCACCGTACTATTCCAGTTTGAGGCTTTTCAAGCCGGTATTTCTGTCCGCCGTCTCTCATTCATGCCAGCCAGCCTGGGATTCTGCCTCCCACTAAGACATAACCCTGAAGAGACCCAAAAGAGAAAAGAATGCCTCTCTTTTTTTCCTTTTTTATCAAGAGAGGCTGGGTCCTAAGACCTGCCAGGTTTCATTCAAGATTCCTTGCAAGGGGAGTTCCAGGTGCAGAAATCGTAGTCATAGTGTTGGAAAGGGACCGCCAAGGGTTCTCTAGTCCAACCCCCTGCAATACAGGGATCACAGGTAAAGAATCCCTGGCAGGTTTAAGGTGCTGGTTTTAACCTTCAAAGCCCTATACGGCCTAGGACCCTCGTACATATGGGACCGCCTCTCCTGGTATGTCCCACAGAGGAACTTACGGTCTTCAAACAAAAACATCTTGGAGGTCCCGGGCCACAGGGAGATTACACTGACCTCAACCAGAGCCAGGGCTTTTTCGGCCGTGGCCCCGATCTGGTGGAACGCTCTGTCACAAGATACTAGAGCCCGACGGGACTTGACATCTTTCCACAGGGCCTGCAAGATGGAGCTGTTCCACCAGGCCTTTGGCCAGGGCACAGCCTGACTCCCTCCTTTGGCAATCCTCACAGAACTCTAGCCCAATGGTTGCCATTAATCTGATTTGATTTTATAATGAAATGATTTTAGAATGTTTTATCACTGTACTATTGTTAGCCGCTCTGAGCCCGGCTTTGGCTGGGGAGGGCGGGATATAAATAAAATTTATTATTATTTATTATTATCTGTCCCCACCCAGGGACAGAACTGACATTCACAAGCCTGCGAAGTCAGTAAGGGAAAACATTTTATGGGGAGTAGATGGAGCTGGGTACCAGACCCTCACCTCTCCCCAAATGCTCCCAGGGGCTCTTGCATGGCCCTATTCCCTTTGACAGGGGTTCAGACAAAAGCATGGTGAGCCCCTGGATTCCTTTAATGGAATACCCTTGCAGCAACAGCATTGGAGGGGCAGGCACAGCCAATCCATACCCCTCCACCAACCAATTTTTTTCTAAAACCAATGCCTAACCGCAACCTTACAAGTTGTGATGATTTGCTACGCAGCAGGCAAAAACCAAATGGCACCAGCCAATCAGCCAAATGGACAAAATTCCTACCAGGAATTCCCTGCCCCAAAAGCAGACGACCCCATGACAGGCATAGCAAGGTCAAACGCAACAAACACCCTAAAATTAGGGAGGGTGGGCGGGTGATCCGATGCACGCAGTGAAAAGAGGGTGCTCAACACTGCGCGCAGGGAATATATTCAACCCAGGCTGTCAATCAAAATTGGCAACATCCCACTCTCCCCAGCAACCAGAGGAGTCCAATCACACTTTGGGCCAACCCAACCAACTTACCCAGCAATAGGGGGTGTCTGGTTAACCCCACCGCAACCCGGGCTCTCCATGAAGGAGAACTCGCTTTGTAAAGTAATCAAAAGCTATTGGGAAATAATTTACAATGAAATGAAAAAAATGTTGAAGATAACTTTTGTTAAAAGACCAGAAGCTTTTTTGCTAGGCATTACAAGACATGCCAAAAGAGTGGAAGAAACGATTCATGTACATTACAACAGCGGCTAGGAGATTACTAGCCCCCAAATGGAAAGACGACAAGATACCAACGAAAGAAGAACAGCAAGTAAAACTGACGGATTACGCTGAAATGGCAAAGCTTACTGGAAAACTTAGAGGCAAAGACAAGAGAGATTTTAAAAAAGACTGGGAACCGTTTATGACGTACCTACAGAAACATTGTAAAGAAGTAGACTCACCAGCAGGGTTTGACGAAACACAGTGGTGCCTTGCAAGACGAAAAGAATCCGTTCCGCGAGTCTCTTCGTCTTGCGGGTTTTTTCGTCTTGCGAAGCAAGCCCATTAGCGGTTTAGCGGATTAGCGCTACAGTATTAGCGGCTTAGCGGGCTTAGCGGATCAGCTGATAAGCGGCTTAGCGATCAGCTGTTAAGCGGCTTAACGATAAGCTGATAAGCGGCTTAACGATCAGCTGATAAGCGGCTTAGCGATCAGCTGTTAAGCGGCTTAGCCGATCAGCTGATAAGCGGTTTAGCGGCTTGGGAAAAAGGGGGGGGGAAGGAAAAAACCCCGCAGGAACTCGCAAGACATTTTCGTCTTGCGAAGCAAGCACATAGGAAATTCGTTTTGCGAAGCACCTCCAAAACGGAAAACCCTTTCGTCTAGCGGGTTTTCCGTCTTGCGAGGCATTCGTCTTGCGGGGCACCACTGCACTTACAATTAAGGAAACAAGCATGAAAGTTAAGAGGCAATCATTGGGAAAACAATAAAGATGTAATTTGGACACATGGTATAAAAATGATACGAACGCAATAATATTTAGATTACAAATTAAGGTAGAATAAAATAAGCAGAAGAAACAATATTTAAAGTACCAGAAGTGGAAGTTGAGGGAAGTCAGGGGGGAGACTGGGATTTGCATATGGTTTTTGTGATAATGCTGATTGTATTGAATATAAAAATGTAAAACTTAATAAAAACTATTTAAAAAAAAAATCCCAGACAGATGGCCATCCAACTTCTGCTTAAAAGCTTCCAAAGAATTAGTACACAAACTTCAGAGGTCATACATTCCACTGTCAAGCAGCTCCCACTGTCAGGAAGTTTTTCCAGGTGTTTAGTCGGAATCTCGTTTCTTGCAACTTGGAGCCATTGGTTTGAGTTCTACCCTCCGGAGCAGGAGAAAACAAGCTTTCCCCCCCTTCCATGTGGCAGCCCTTAAGATATTTAAAGTCTGATCAGAAGGTTGGCAGTTCAAATCCCCGCGACGGGGTGAGATCCCATTGCTCGGTCCCAGCTCCTGCCAACCTAGCAGTTCGAAAGCACGTCAAAGTGCAAGTAGATAAATAGGTACCACTCCGGCGGGAAGGTAAACGGCGTTTCCGTGCGCTGCTCTGGTTTCGGTGTTCCGTTGTGCCAGAAGCAGCTTAGTCATGCTGGCCACATGACCTGGAAAAACTGTCTGCGGAAGCGGACAAACACCGGCTCCCTCGGCCTGTAAAGCGAGATGAGCACCGCAACCCCAGAGTCGTTCGCAACTGGACTTAACCTTTACCTGCTGTCAGGTGCCGGCGTGGTTGCTCGAGAGCGAACAGGCAAGACTCCCACCGGTCTTTTCCAGGCTTTATTATCTGTACAAAACATTTACAGTGCAGAACGTCTCAAGTCCATGTCTGCTCAATCGGTAGCAGAATATGGGAGTGGGCGGTCCTTAAACTTTCCCCAGCATAGCAGTCTTTCAACCCCCATCCTACGCCTGCACTTAACCCGACTGCGCAGAGAGGGTGTGGACAAAGGGGGACCTGCCTCCCCCTCGCTTTGCTCAGGCTCGGTATTGCAGCTCTCTGTAGCATCCTCCGAGCCCTGCATACCTTCCCCACTGGAGGCGTGACTTCCCTCCTCTCCACGATCTTCAGAGGCTCCCTGTAACACAACTGCTCTTCCACCTTTCGCCTCTGAGCTGATGGCAGTTCCCTGACATCCATCATATCAAAAAAGAAGGTACCTTTTATCATATGTGGCGGACGTGTAAGGTTATAAAAGCATTTTGGGAAATGATATATAATGAATTGAAAAAAATGTTTAAAATAGCTTTTGTAAACAACAACAACCAGAAGCTTTGTTATTAGGAATTGTAGGTACCACCATCCCAAAGGAACAGAAAAGACTTTCCTATATACGACAACAGCTGTGCGGACGTTACTAGCCCAGAGATTGACAGAAAACAAGGTTCCGTACCAGAGAAGAATGGCAAATTAAACTGTTGGACTATGCCAAAATGGCAAAACTGACTGGAAGGCTCAGAAACCAAGAAGACCAATAAAGAATGAGGGAAATTTATAATTTATTTAGGAGACCACTAGAAACAGATGAAAACATTAGCAGGATTTTAATAACACTTGCAATGTAGCGCATATCATGGACAATATGGAAAGATACAAAATATGGATTGTGAAATAATATGCAGTTAAGAGGGTGTACAATAGGATCCATGGAGGGGGAGGTGGGAAGTCCAGAGATTAGGAGAAATCTCTAAATATGGATATGTAATTTGAATTACTATAAATTAATACAGTGGTACCTGAGGTTACATACGCTTCAGGTTACATATGCTTCAGGTTACAGACTCCGCTAACCCAGAAATAGTACCTCAGGTTAAGAACTTTGCTTCAGGATGAGAACAGAAATTGTGCTCCGACGGCGTGGTGGCCAGCAGGAGGCCCCATTAGCTAAAGTGGTACTTCAGGTTAAGAACAGTTTCAGGTTAAGAACAGACCTCCGGAATGAATTAAGTGCTTAACCTGAGGTACCACTGTATTTGTAAAACCAAATAAAAATTATTTAAAAATAAATAAAAATAAAGATTGCTATCATATCACCTCTCAGACTCCTCTTTTCCAGGCTAAACATACCCAACTCTCTCAATGATTCCTCCCAAAGCTGGGTTTCCAGGCCCTTGATCATCTTGGTTGCCCTCCTCTGCACACGTTCCAGCTTGTCAATATCCTTTTTAAAATGTGGTGCCCAGAACTGGACACAGGACTCCAGATGTGGTCTGACAAAGGCAGAATAGAGCATTACCCCCCAGCTAACGCAGGATAGGGAAAACAATTTTCATGCAGAATTTGAGTTATCATGTCAAATAAGGGACTGACACTTTTTACCAGTGTCACATAATGTGTGTTCCACACTAACAAGAAATCAGTACAGTCATACCTCGGGTTAAATACGCTTTGAGTTGAGCGCATTCGAGTTGTGCTCTGCAGCAACCCGGAAATAACGGAGCGCGTTACTTCCGGGTTTCTCCGCTTGCGCATGCGCAGACGCTCAAAATGACATCATGCGCATGCGCAGAAGCGTCAAAAAGCAAAGCGTGCGCAGACGTGCCATCGCTAGATACATTTACCTCTAGATGCCAACAGGGCTCCGGAACGGACCCCATTCATATCTAGAGGTACCACTGTATTCTAGTGTGGCAGCAATATCCTGC